GTGGTTTTCGGAAATATCTTTCAAAAGGTCAGACGGCTGTGTTCAATTTTTTGTTTCATCTTATATTTTTACAACATAAGTGAATTGATGTGCCCTTTTGATCTGTATACGTACGAATACATAACTCGTGATGGTAAGTATTATGTTCTATAAAACAATACTATATTTGTTTATCCCTCCAAACCATCTCATCTGTTATAAGTTCAAGCGATGTTCAATTTGAAATGATCTTTCCAAGAACTATTGATATCAGTGTCCTCGAAAATATGGGTAAAATTGTTGTATATCGGCACTACCATCACCCTGGGTGAGAGTGTATATTTGTGTTATAACCACCCCATACTTGTGATGTTAATTCCGAAATTTAAGATATTGAGCTGTTTGATGAAAACTTCATCTGAGAAGCTCAGCTCAGATTCTCTTGACAGATAACAGTTTGCGAGTATATTTAAACCTTCATTCATGTTCAAAGCAGTAAAAATAATATTTCGGAAAAAGGGCGTGTCGTAACACTCCCATGGGAACTCACAAATGCGTATAACAATTGAGACTGACGGGATTAACTACTACGATCAAGAAGACATCAAAGAGCAAAGCAGCCGCGTAATATTGAACTTGATTAAATTAAACATTGAATTGCAATATGAGTGAGAGATATGCGTACAGGGAATCAGTTATGAACTGTATGAAGTGGGTAATTCACATGGTTTATTTGAAACACGATACAGATAACATTATTATAGAGTATGACATAATTTTATTACAAATTTTATTGTATAACAAGGTGATCAAAGTAAACTACATATTTCATTTGCGACTCATTCAGCCATGTTATTACGTATTATTGTAAGAGTTTTTGTTTGAATGCCTGCAACATAATTACAATGTGCATGTATGTTTCCTGGGGTGGCCTTCTTTTAGCATATGTCCGTCAGATTCCACTTTAATTTGTAAGAAAAGCAGATAGGATTAGAATTTAAAACATGTGTATATTATCGTTGCAAACTATCCTTGACTAATCCTAACTCTTGTGATATCTAAAAGCATTTATTTCATTAGAACTCGCTTTGTTAATTTGAAATAATCACCACTTATACATATAACAGATGGGATAACTCGTGGTACTGTTTATGGAACACGATACTTACTGTCAATTGCCGTCATTTATTTTTACGTATACATATCAAAGGGGCGTGTCATATTCGCATATGTAGTGAAAACAGATGTTTGAATCAAAAGAAGTTATAACTTATTATTAGTCAAACAATAACCCACTGATTTAAGGACTTAAAACTATATTAGCGATACTATATCGGTATCTTAGTGGGATATCATTTCAAACATGTGTTGGTTTCCATAGAAATTTGCAGCATCAACCATCGGCCTGTCGATTATCTCTTCCCTTTCTCTGGTGGAGGATCATTTTAGCTCCTTAGGTTGAGCTCTAGTGTGCATTCCCGTTCCCGACTTTCGATATTTGCCTAGTATTCCCCATACGTACTGTCGACACCTCGGGATGTTTAGATGGTCAATGTATCATTGCTTGAACTAAACACAACATAATTCTTTATCCCTGTAGTAACTATTCATATGTCTTGCAGGAAGCCTGGCGTCTTCCGCATTAAACAATATTGGCCCTTGGAGTGCACCAACGGCGTTTTTATTCCATCCGTCGTCATTACGGGTACAAGTAGTATATGTGTTTTGTAGTAATGGACAGTATAGCGCTCACTATCATAATGTGTTTGAGTTGCCATGGATATGTATAGGCAACACTTATTTTCCATCTTTTGTGTTACTATGCAGATTGCAGAATTGTCTCACGTGAAAAATATTCATTTATGCACAATGGTTTCACCGTTTCGACGACACCAGACATAATAAAGGATATAACATTCAATCCAACCACTGAGAAGAATACAATAGAGGCAGATTTGCAAACAACAATGTTAAAAACGACACGTGAAAGAAAGCCATCGCACATCTCATCATCTGCACAATTCACTATAGAGACAACGGGTATGTATGAATTTACAAATAAATAAGCACGTTAATGCATATTATTACAGGCAAACAAGTGGTGAATTTCAACAATTGGACCCTGATATTTCGAAAATCGTGAAAACAAAACTACACTTACACAATGTTTGCTTTTCACAAATATACGTTTGATATTATATGTTAACACGCACAATATAAGTACTTATTGTTGAAAAATGGGTTCGAAGTTGTATCAATCTTAAATGTTAACATCATCACAGGCAATGGCAACGATAGAGCCATGTTCTCAACTATGCAGAAACAATGGACGTTGCAAACAGGTAAGCGTTTACATGTAGTTGATATTACGTCAAAAACTCGTGAGAATGTTCGCCTTAGTCTAGGATATTTTTAAAAGGCGAGATAGGATTGATGTTGTGATAACACGCATAATATACCTACTTGTGTTATTGTTGAATAAAATTGTATCGAATTTTTAAAAAACCTATTATATTTCTAACATCATTACAGGCAATGACAACAAAACAACTATGTTCTCAATTCAAACAGGTAAGCGTATTTCCAAATGAGTGCATTGTCACATTACTAACATGTGAATCTAATTAATATAAACTTATCTACTTATACATTGAAATAAATAAATCACCACAGTTACATAGAAGCATGCTATAACACATATATATCTTATACAATGTAACACCATGTCTTATAATATATTGCAGTCACAGCAGAAACACCATGTCCTGCTAATTGTGGTGATGTTTGCTCGCTTTATAATGTACCATTATGTCCATGTACCGGGGTGACATGTGGTAAGTATATTAGCTACTAGTATGTTTACTAGAGTAATTTCAAAAACAATATTTTCAATATTTGCTAGATACATGCGTTTGTGTTCTTTTTTTACAGATTACTTTTTAATTGGGTGTTTTACTGACACATATGCACGTGCTATCCCCACCCTTGAAGGTACTGATGCACGACTCGATGGATACTACAAAACACGCATAAACCCTATTGAGAAATGTGCTGCCGTAGCTCTAGATAATGGTTACGGAATGTTTG